TCCGCGATCCGATCCGTGATCCGATCCGTGATCCGGTCCGTGATCCGATCCGTGATCCGGTCCGGTCCGATCCAGATTTTGTCGACGCCGCATGTCGCCTTGTTGTTGCAATAAACAGTTGTTTGTTGAAATATATTTTTGCAGCGGTTTTGAACGTGAGTTAGTAACTTCTTTGATAGTTTTTGTTTTTGGGCAACTGATTAGGATTTAGGAAGCCCCGTGCAAAGTAGTTTTGCACACAGCCCTTTTTTTTTTTCAGTTAGATAATCCTGTAATGACGGATACTTGTACCTTGTATCATCCTTTCCTCTCCCTGCAGGTCTCCACTGTGAATTTAGTAGTTCTTCATGCCAGCCCAATCCTTGTCAAAACAATGGCACGTGCAGCCTGCATGGCAACAGTTCAAACTGCACGTGCCCAACCGGTTGGACCGGTTCTTATTGCAATATTGATGTGGATGAATGTCGCTCGTCACCATGTGGAAAGCTGGGCTCGTGCCACAACACGCCCGGTGGCTATAACTGCACTTGCTTAGCAGGATTCACGGGTGCACATTGTGATAAACACGTGGACGAATGTCTTGACGATCCTTGCCAGAACCAAGGCACCTGCGAGGATTTAGTGAATGGCTACAGGTGTACTTGCACTGCGAGCTTTTCTGGAAAAAACTGCGAGGTTCCACTAAGTGACTGCTCTGCGCAGCCGTGCAAGAACGGAGGAACGTGCCAGCTTGGTGGAAATGGGTTTAGCTGCTTATGTAAACCGGGTTATACCGGTTTGACCTGTGACATTGACATTGACGAATGCTCCTCCAATCCGTGTAGAAATGGTGGCACGTGTGTGAATAATGTTGATAGTTACCTATGTCAGTGTGCTGAGGGATATCGAGGAAGAATTTGTGAAGTGCTGTTTTCTGTTAGTTTTCAACGTGGATCATACCTTCCTGCCTTGAATTTTCGATTGTTCCCATCGGAGGTGTTCTCATTTAGATTCCGCACAACTCTGCCGGATGGACTCTTATTCTACCAGGGAGCAGTAAGTAAATAACGGTTTTACAATAACTGCCTGATTTCTCGCCCGCTGATTGGTTCATTTTTATCATCAAGAAGAGTACAGACGGTTAAAATTTTAATTTATGCAAGCTCTCAAGTTCAACTCTCAGCTGTCAAACTGTCAACTTATAAACCAATGAGATTTTATGGACTTTTTTAAGTAGCCAATGAAAAAGTGAGAAGAGCTATCGACAATGTTCGCGTCATTTTGAATAAAATTCACTTGTCTTTGTTTACGGCAAGTTTACGGCGTCTTTTCCCCTCATTTATTCCCGGCATTTGACCATTTTGGGGTCTTGTTATTGTTAAAAACAAATTGACGTCAGTTTTTTACGCGTCTGTCCTCTTATTGATGATAAATTTCGTCATAACATTGTCAAAGTTTGCTGTGGAACCACTCGCCTGGGGCTCGTGGTTCCACAGCCACTTTGACAGTGTTATGACGCAATTCATCATCAATAAGAGGACAGACGCATAAAAAACTGACATCAAATTGTTAAACTGATCACCCTTTTATCTTATTGCTATCAAAATTACCCACTCGTAAGGTTGTCTCTATAGGTGCTGAAGACGACATTTTGTACGCGTCTCCGTCGCCTTCTCCTTGGATTTGATTAATTATAACTAAATTTGTTTCTTTTTTGTTTCTTCCAGGACCTCGCAAAGGAGCACCCAGACCACGTGATCCTAGAGCTAACAAACGGTTCAATTCGTCTGTCGTTCAACACTGGCCTGGACACGGCAACAGCCAAGTTAGGAAGCAATCTGAACGACGGGGCCTGGCACCAGATAACTGTTCAGATATCTGGTTCCCAGGCCACTTTATTTACGGACAAGGACATTTGTGGTGCTGTGTGCCCCTCAGTCACCGTCAGTACAACCAGTGATGGTAGCTCACAGTTTTCTGGCCTGCCTTACTTTGGAGGCCTGAGAAAGTTGGTCCCGCAGATAAAACAGCAGCTTGCAACTGATGGCTCGTTTGTGGGATGTATCAAGGTATTTATGCCCTCGGTGGCCCTTAGAAATAGTCAAGTAGAGATGCTTCTTAACTTGCATTTTGTCTTCACAATGCGCCGAGTTGATCAACTCACATTGTTTGCATTCGTTCTTTTTTTTTTTTCAGGACTTTCTATACAACAATGTGGATACCGGTCTACAGGGTGTTTTTGCTCAATCGTACCTAGTCTCCACCGGGTGCCAGAGACAGGATGTCTGTAGTAACCATGGATGCAGGCATGGCGGCGCATGTGTAGATGAGTGGAGCCAGTTCAGTTGTCGCTGTCCCCAAGGATTCGTGGGCTCTTTCTGCGAGCATCAAATCACAGCCACGTTTGATAGCGATGATAATTCTGGTCTTAAATTTGCTGCCGCTAACATTACATCGTTTTCTTTGGAGTTTTCAATTGATCCCACACTGCCTAGCGGAGTGCTGGCGTTTACAGGGGTATGTCTTCTTTAACGTAACGACAATCAATAAAGGTAAAAAAGTCTGCAAGCGAGCCAAGTGGCCCATCAGGCCGGAGCTTATCCCGGTTTCTGTAGCATGAAGCGACTAGGAGTATTTCTACTCCCCCCTGGATGGGA